GCGCCAGCACGCCCAGCTCCTGCGACGCCGCCCGCTTCGGACGCGGCTCCCGACGCCCCGCCCGACGCGGTTGCCTCAGCTTCACCCGCAGCTGGGCGCCCGCGCCCTCGCCGCAAGCGGCGTCGTGCGGCCCGAGCGGCCGCCTCCGAGGCACCCTCGGCCCGTTCGCGATCCCCTGCGCAGCCAGCTGCTACTCTGCGCTCGGCCGCGGCCGCGGCGCATGCTCAGCGTCATCGGGATCGCGGCTTCTCTTCGCCCGACCCGCCTGACCCGCCCCTGCCGGCTGGTGCGGCAGGCGCCCTCGGCTGGCGTGTCGAGATCGGGGGCGAACCCGTGGTGGTGGTCGACTACCCGTCGGACGACCCCGCCACGGCTGAGCTGTGCCAGAATGCAGTCTGGTGGCTGCAGCACTTTTGCCCGGATGGGCTCAACGAGCCCCAGAGCGACGACGCGCTGGCCTGCTTGCACAAGGGCCTGCTGACCTACGGCCGCCTTTTCGGGCCGGAGGGTCTTGCGCCTGTCGCTGAGCCGAGCTGGCTCACGCTGGTCTCCGGGGCCGTCGACGCGAGCACTGTCCCGGCGAAGTTTCGGGCCGCGGCTTCCGGCGCGGTGCGCGGCATCGGCCTCGGGGCGAACGTGCACCGACGCCGCCAGGCTGCTGCCCTAGCCTGCCTCTTCGACCTGCTAGGTCACGCCACCGCGGATGGCTCCGCCCCGCCTCCCGAGTTTTGGAGCAGCGATGGGAGCGCGCCACCGCATTGGCGGGCTGGGCTCAACGCTATCTCCAGCGTCCCACATCCCTTGGGATGGACGCCAGCGCGGCAGCGCACTGGCGCAGCTCCCAGCATCGCGTGGGCGACGGCCTGCGAGACAGGAGTGTACGCGTGGCCGACGCCTCTGTCCTCGCAGATTGAGGCAGAGGCCCGCCGCGTGGTGCGCGAGACAGGAATGGACTACACTGAGGTCCGCGCTGGTCTCGCGCGCCGTTCTGGCGTCGAGCGACCTATCGTCGCCAACCGCCTGCCGCCGTTCTACCGCTCGCGCCGCGAGCGCAGCGCGGTGCTGGGCATGGAAGGGCGCCTCAGCGGCCCGCTCGCACGCGCCGCTGTCCTTTGGTGCGTGTGCGGGGTCTGCGTGCGCGCCCTGGACGCTGCCCCAGAGGCGGCTGCGGCTGGGAGCCTGGGGCTTAGCGTCCCTGTTCGCGGTCCGCGATCGCCGTTCGTTCGCGACGCCCATCTTACTCCCGCTTATGTAGAGCGCCGATCAAGATCGCTTGACGCGTTCGAGTTGTGGCTCGAAGAGCACACTGGGGTCCCTCCCCAGACGCTGTACCGCAGCGGCATCCTTTTGGCTAGATTCCTTGCCACCTTTGGTGTGTGGCTTCATGATGCGGGTTTCCCGCATTACATTCTAGTCCATGCGATTTTGGCCATACAGGCCAACCACCCCCACTGGAAAGCCTTCCTGACGGAGGCGTGGGACGTTGCGAAGCAGTGGAAGCTCGCCGAGCCTCCGCGCCTCCGCCCGCCGCTCCCTAGAGCGCTTCTGCGGGCCATGGTCGGGTTGTGCTTAGCTTGGGGCTGGCCTGAAATGGCCGCCTTGCTGCTCATGGGTTTCACCATGTTTCTGCGGCCTGGGGAGGTCCTCAATGCGCGGCGCTGCGATCTGTCGCTTCCGTGCGACAGACTGGAAGCTGACGGTGATGCGTTCCTGTCGATCCCTGCTCCGAAGACCCGTCGGACCTATCCGACGCAGCACGCCCGTTGTTCGGACAGAGCAACGGTGAAGATAATGGAGCTGGTGTTTCGGCATTTGGGGCCCACCGATCCGCTCTCTACCTTTGGCCAAAGCGGCTTCCGTACTCGGTGGAACCATCTACTAAGTGCGTTAGGCGTCCAGCTGGCTAAAGCCCCCGCGGGATTCAACATGACCCCCGCGTGCCTTCGAGGCTCAGGCGCTACAGATTTCTATATTGCCACCGAAGACGTCCCTCGCGTCTTCTGGCGCGGCCGCTGGAGGCAAGCCTCCAGCGCCGAACGATATCTGCAGGCCGCCGCCGCCTCTACTGTCCTTGCCTCCCTCCCTGCTCCTGCGCGGGAACAGGTTGAGTACTTCGCTAGTGTTAGCGACTACCTGGTCGCACGATTCCGATCGGCGGGTCCTTCCGCCTGGCCTTTCGTTCTCGCGGCCGCCCGCTCTAGACTTGTCACTGCGCAAGGGCTTTGAGCATGGGTATGGCTGCTACGACCCGCGGGTCGTCCTGGAGCCGCCCCTGAGGGTCGCCTCCTGAGTGCGCTGCTCGGTGCAGGCGCGCGTCGGGGCTCTCTCCTTTAGCCTCGCGCGCGCGGTCCCGCGCGCGGCCCCGAGACGACTGCTACGCAGCGGAGCGAGCGGGGATGCTACCTCTTATCCCCGCCGCGATCGCCCCGCAGGCGTCCTGCAGCTTCTCGGCCCCCACCCACCTCCCCCTCCTTACCAAGGCTAGCCTGCGGCGCTGCTACGACCTGCGGGTCGCCCGGGAGCCGCCCCTGAGGGTCGCCTCCTGAGTGCGCTGCTCGGGGCAGGCGCGCGTCGGGGCTCTCCCCTTTAGCCTCGCGCGCGCGGTCCCGCGCGCGGCCCCGAGACGACTGCTACGCAGCGGAGCGAGCGGGGATCATCATCATCATCATCATCATCATCATCATCTTCCCTCCTCCTCGTCCTCCTCCTCCTCTACCTCCTCCTCATCCCTTCTCCTCCTCCTCCTCCTCGTCCTCCTCCCTCCTCCTCCTCCTCCTCCTCCTCTCTCCTCCTCCCTCTTCCTCCTCCTCCTCCTCCTCCTCCTCATCATCATCATCATCATCCCCTCCTCCCCTCCTCCTCTTCCTCATCCTTCTCCTCCTCTCCCTCCTCCTCTCCTCTTCCATCTTGTCCCCCCCCTCCCCCTCCTCCTCCTCCTCCTCCTCCTCCCCCTTCCTCCTCCTCCTCCTCCTCCTCCTCCTCCTCCTCCTCCTCCCTCCTCCTCCTCCTCCTCCTCCTCCTCCTCCCTCCTCCTCCTCCTCCTCCTCCTCCTCCTCCTCCTCCTCCTCCTCCTATCTCCTCCTCCTCCTCCTCCTCCTCCTCCTCCTCCTCCTCCTCCTCCTCCCCCTCCTCCTCCTCGGGTCGCCTACGGCCGCGTGGGAAACCGTGCATCCGAAGTGTAGCGCCCAGGCTCGAAAATGGAACAACGGCATACAGGCGAGGCTGAATTCGTAGATCGACCCTGCCACATCAAAGTACCCTCGTGCCCTTTGTTTCGCTGTTCACGCCTCCTGTGCTCCTATGCCTATGGCAATGTGGCCCTCGGCTGGGTCTGGTGTCCTTCTCGCGTGTCTTCGCCAATCAAAGCCCCAACTGTAAGCGTGCACTCTCGGAGCTCCGCGCGGCGTTCTTGGGTCGGCGCCTGGGCCCCCCCGGCAGCGCCTCTCCGGCGCCGCCTCTGGCGCGCACCGCGCACCCAGGGGAAGGGGCTCCTGCGCTGATCCAGGGAAGCTCCGCGGGCCTCCGAACGTTTATGTGTCTGTGCCCCTTTGTACAAGGCGTTCCTTTGCATGCACATCGCTTTCGGCACCGCCTGATTCCGGGGCTTTGCCCTCTTTTGGCCTTGTCGTGAGGCCCCTCCTTTTGCCTTCCCCCCTCTGTCAATTAAAGCTGTGCGCGGCCCGCTTAGCTTCGACCGGAAGAGGCTCGCTCTCGACCCGCGGATCAAAAAAAGTGTCTGTGCCCCATTTTTGTCGATTCCAGACTTCCAGGCGTCGCTGGTAAAGATCACGACGAGCGTTTCGTTTTGACCTCGGTCTGGCAAGTCCCGTGTCGGGGCCTGGGGTCAGCAGCAACAGCCACGCGCTGCGGGAAGCCGGTCTGGGGGATGATGCGGTCGAGGAGTCCCAGGCCCACATGACGATGGAGGTCTTGGACCGAAGGTCTGGACGGTGGGTGCGGGTGGTACGGGGCAGAGCTGCTTCGCGACGCCGCCGTGATCGGATTCCCTCAGCGCTGCGGGCGCATGCCGAGCGACCGGACGATCCTCCCCCACACCGCGCGGCACTCGCACAAGTCGTGCTGGCAGCCTTGTCCCGCTCCTCAATCCGGGAAAACGGCCCAATGATGCAGTATCGTGCTGTTCTGCGGCATCTTGAGCGCATGCGTCTTCTCTTTGAGTGCCATGTTCAGAGGAGGAAGGGGTGCCGATCCTGCTGCCCCTCCCTCGTTTTCCCCTTTTTTGGCTCCCTCGTCGCCACCGCTGGAATCGCCTCGAAATCCTGGTCAGAACGCACTCCAAGAGAGGCTCTGGGAGTAGCGGTATCGGTATTGGTTTCCCCAACTGCGGTCCGTGGGCTCGGGCTCGGGATCTATTGTCGGCAGATCAAGGGCGCCTAACGGAGAGAACCTACGCACTGATTTTGCTACCCCTCCGAAGCCCTCTCGATCACCATTGCTTTCGACCAAAGGCCGAACGTCACCACCCCACCTGCGGCCCTCCGTGTTCCGCTGCGGCCCATCGGGGGCCGTAGCGCATGCCACGCAGAAACCCAAGCGAGATGGAATGGCGTGTGCTGAGGCCCGTGGGGCCGTAGGGTGGGGTGGTGTCGTTGATTCTCTGGCCCACTGCTTCGATCCGTGCACCCGAGCTGCCCGTCGGCCGAGGGCGACGAGCGCGGCGGTGATGCGCGGCAGCCCCGTGCATTCCGACGCTGTGCCTCCCGGGCTGCCGCTGCCCGGCCGCACGTCGACGAAGCTGCCGCCGCTGCTGCCGTCGCCGCCGCCGCCGCCGTCGTCGTTTTCGTCGCCCTCGTCGTCGTCGTCGTCGCCCTCGTCGTCGTCGTCGTCGTCGTCGTCGTCGTCGTCGTCGTCGTCGTCGTCGGCGTCGTCGTCGTCGTCGACGTCGTCGTCGTCGTCGTCGTCGTCGTCGTCCTCGTCGTCGTCGTTTTCGTCGTTTTTGTCGTCGTCGTCGCCGCCGTCGTCGACACCGCTCCTCCTAGGCTGCCGCAGCTCGAACGCATGCCCGCCGGGCTGGAGGGCCTCCTGCTCGACGAGCGCTGGGTCAAGTGCGGCGTGGCGGTGGGCCTTCGGCGGCCTCTGGCGGCCAACGGCGCCCTTCGGCGGCCGCGGGCGGCCTTCGGCGGCCTCTGGCGGCCTTCGGCGGCCTTCGGCGGCCTTGGGCGGCCTTCGGCGGCCTTCGGCGGCCTTGGGCGGCCTTTGGCGGCCTTCGGCGGACGTTGGCGGCCTCCGTCGGCCTTCGGCGGCCTGGGCCAGCAGCGAGGAGGTCGTCGTCGTCGTCGTCGCCGTCGTCGTCGTCGTCGTCGTCGTCGTCGTCGGCGTTGTCGTCGTCGTCGTCGTCGTCGTCGTCGTCGTCGTCGTCGTCGTCGTCGTTCGTCGTCGTCGGCGTTGTCGTCGTCGTCGTCGTCGGCGTCGTCGTCGTCGTCGTCGTTCGTCGTCGTCGGCGTTGTCGTCGTCGTCGTCGTCGTCGTCGTCGGCGTCGGCGTCGGCGTCGGCGTCGGCGTCGTTGTCGTCGTCGGTGGGTTCGGGGGCAGCCCCAGGTGGCGCAGGATGGGCGAGCTGCATCCGACGGGGGGCCTTCTCGTGTGCGGGGGCTGCTTTCGGGACTGACTGTCTGCGCAACCCTGGGCACTGGGTTTTAGACTCTTAGACAACGTGGCACACACTAGCCGCTGCAGCGCAGCGCGGCACTCGGCAAGGCGACCTGACGCAGCTTCTACTGCCTACTATCAAACGCCTGCCATATTTTTCACATACGGTGCAGTCCAATGAGTCCAATGCACCGCCAACCCCAGAGTCACTTGCAAGCAGTGCAGCGTGATTGAGTGCGGTGCGGTGCGGTGCAGTACTTTGTGTACTGATTGTTGCCTTTTGGCTCCGATCTAATGCACATGTCATCCTGCCTGTTGTCAAGTATCTGCTGACGCGCCTTGCAGCGCCCTCGAAATGCCAGCAGCCTACGACTGTATTCTCTTCTGTTTGCTTTTAGGTGCCATCTAACTGTCATACGCTGCAGCTCAACCAGGTGCAATGCAATGTGACGGAATGCAATGCAGCACAGCAACGCGCCCGCTGCAAATGTCACTCCGCTTGCCCATTGCGAGGCGCTTACAACCTAAGAGTCAGTGTCCGCACGCCAATGCGATGTACCTCAGCGGTGCACAACGCAGTGCAGCGCAATGCCACAGTGCAATGCCATTCAAAGCACTGCAATGTGCTTTTTCCATACAGGCGCCGCTGTGGTGTGGTTTCCGTGCTCCAGATCGTTTCTTGAGACCTGTGCAGCGAATTTTCGAGATCACGAGTTGTGCATGGCGCGGAGGGCGGGCTCGGCCTTTACCCTTCCCCTGCAGGTGTCTCGGCACCCAGCACGCCCAGACGGCCCCACGCGCGAGGGCAGCTCCCGAAAGCCTCCCCCGCCCCATGAGCTGGGCCCCCCCGCGGAAGCACGCCGAGGACCTGAAGCTCCTGGAGGACCCGCGGCCTCCGCCGAGCCTGCGACCGGGAGGCGTCGGCCCGCCGACGGGGAGACCGCTGCGGCAGGCTCGCGCCGTGTCCGCCGCGGGCGCTCCAGGTGAGACGCCGCCGGGGGCCCCAGGGCCCGCCAGTGAGGAGAGAGCCCTGGCGGTCGGAAAGGCGCCGATCGCAGAAGGCTGAAGTCGGGCGTGTCCCTCTACAGGAGGAATGTTCCAAGCTAGTCAAAAAATAGTCGGGGGGCGTTTTTTTTTTTTTTTTTTTTTTTTTTTTTTTTTTTTTTTTTTTCCCCCCCCCCCCGACTATTCTGTTTTTTTTAAGAATGGTTCTGAATTTCGTTTTGATGGTTCTGGACTCTTTATCAACTCTCCTCCACAATTCGCCCGTAGGAGGACCTGCCCGACTTCGTGGAAGGCCGGACGACCCACGTGGCGTCGGGCACCCACGCTGGGGGTCGTCACGGCACGGACCAGCCGCACACGGGCGGGGCGCCTCGAGGCCCGCGGTGCCCCGCAGGCCCTGTCGGGCGAGCTTCCGGCGGAGAGCGCGCCCCCTTTCGCCTCCAGAGGTTCGCGCCCCTGGCGCGGCGGGGAGCTGCGGAGCCACGAGGGTCCGCGCCCGATGCCGACGAGGCTCGACGCCACGGGCCTCGAGCCGCGGGCTCCGTGCCCCCGCGGGGCCCCGCAGGTCCGACGTCGCGAATCGGGGAAACGTGAGCCTCGGGTGAGCTGGAGCCCGTGCGTGCCGAAGTGTTTTGACGAGCGCGTCCTGGATTTTGACGGTTCAGCTCTCGTGGGATGCCAGCAGCGGGAGCTCGCGTCAGATTTTAGATTGGGTCTCGTCATTTTCATGATGGCCCCGTCAGGCCAACCCGAGCCCCCCGCTTCCGAAACTTACGTCTCCCCGAGCGAAAAGTGACCACGTCGTGAAAAGTCGCGACTGGAGCTCCGGACCCCGTCTCTGGTAGGCGTCATCGTCCCGTTGGGGCCCGATGCCGAAGCAGCAGCGCCCACATACAGTCGGGCCGCTGAAGAAGGAACCCTTTTCGCTGGGGAGGGGCTCAGTGCTCCTTCATTGCTTTACAGGTTCTCTTGCAGGTGTTCCTTAGGTTTTCGATGGGAAACTGAAGTTGAACTCATAGAAAACAGGGGCCTTTGCGACTGTCGTGCTTGTTCGCGATGCTCCGATCTGGGGGTCGAGCCTCAAAGTCGGCCGTCGCATTTTCTGTCATGAAGCGGGGGATACAGGACGCGGCCAGCCTGGGCGAGAGCTGGATGCACGTTTGACGTCGCAGCGCGGCAGAGGCAGTCCGCTCGCTTGCTCGAGCGGGCCGGAAGAGCGGGATGCACGCGTGGCCGGGTGCCTTGCCAGCGCTCGGCCCTTCTGTGGCAGCATGTCTCCCCGAAGGTGCATCCAGCGCGTGGCCGCCAGATGCTGCACATGTCAGTCCGGCCGTGTGTTCTTCCAGCCTCCCGGCAGTCGACCCCCGGACTCCTCGTGGGGTACGCTCCGGGCAGGATTTCGACGCGGGCCCGGCTTTGGCGGCGAAGTCCCCGCAGAAGGCACAAAGTTCTACACCCTGGCGGCAGCAGACCCTGTGAACGGCGTGATGTGTGGCAGCGTGGGCCCCAAGCAGGAAGGTCCTGCACCGAGGGTGTGGAAGTTCTGCGGTGTGAGCTCTGCGGTGTGAGCGCTGTGATGCAAGCTGCGCAGTGCAAGCTATGCGGTGCAGTCTAGGTGGTGCAAGCCATGTGATGCAGACCATGTGCAAGCTATGTGGTGTGAGCTCTGCGGTGCCAGCTCTGTGTGTTGCAAGCTACGTGGTGCAAGCGGTGTGGTGCAACCTAGGGGTGGTGCAAGCCATGCGATGCAAGCTTTGCGCAGGCCATGTGGTGCGGGCTCCGCGGAGCGCGGGCTCCGCGGCGTGAGCAGCGTGGTGCAAGCGAGGGGAGCTGTGTGGTACAAGCTGTGTGGCCTGAGCTGCGTGGTGCGAGCCACGTGGGCCAACCAGGGGATGCGCGGCACCTCCGTGGTGCATGCCGCCCGCACAGGACGGCACACATGCGGGCACGAGGCGCCCACCCGGCCGCCACAGGGCGGCGACGTGGCGAGCCCTCGGCACGCCTGCACACGAAGCGCCCACGAGGCGCCCACGGGCGGCCACGTGGCGAAACCTCGGCACGCCCATCGGAGCACCTGCAGGCGAAGAAGAAGAAGAAGAAGAAGAAGAAGAAGAAGAAAATGAAGAAGAATAATAAGAAGAAGAGGAAGAATAATAATAATAAGAAGAGGAAGAAGAAGAAGAGGAATCATAATAATAATAATCGCCATGAACATAGGCTTGTAGCGCTCCGCGCGGATTTCTTGGATCGGCGCCTGGGCCCCCCTGGCGGCGCCTCCGGCGCCGCCCCTGGCGCCGTCCGCGCGCCGGGGAGGGGGGTCCGGCGCGGATCCAAGAAATCCGCGCGGAGCGCCAAGAGTTTGAGTGCTATGCCGTTATTTCTTCTTCTATTACAAGTGACAGTCACAGTCTGGGGCGTTTTGGGGCACTGCATGGTACATGATAGCGCAATCTTGCAGCGTGGGAGGGCACCATTTTCGGGAAGCCATGTGGGAGAGCATGCGGAAGAGCACATGGGGAGACCACACGGGGAGACCACTCGAGAGACCACGCGGGGTACCCTGGGGCCACGAGCCACGGATTCTGGATCCCCGGGAGCACCCACGTGCCTGAGCAGAGATAGGTGGGGCCCTTCCAGACAGGCTGTTCAGGGAGGCATGCCCCCCCAAATGCCCCCGGGCCCGACGCCGAAGCGAAGCGCTGCGCGCCACGGTTTGCTTCTGCCCGCCACGACGCAGACCCCTGCCATCGCTGACTCTTCTCAGCGCAGGAGCCCCCAGGGCCAATGCCCTCTCCCCAGGACCAGCTTCTCATCCCGAGTCGTTCCTGATGGTCTGGGGGTCTGGCGAGGGCCCCAGAGGCCGAAAATTACCAGAGGCTTCCCGTCGCGACCTTTTCGCGGCGCGGGCACGTCTGGGGAGCGTGGCCCGTTTTGAAGCGCAACGCGTGCCGTGTCCAAAACGTCCGCGTAAACATGCTGCGTGTGGGCTCGGCACGTGGTGGTCCACGTTCTGGCAAACGCATCGCGCCAGGCCTGCGTTCTCGGTCTACCTGTTGAGCTCCGTGGCAACGCCACGTGTCGCGCGTGGCGTATCGGGGCAGCTACAGTCGATCCGCATAGTATGGATGGCCAACCCTCCCACGGGTACCCTTGCATCCTTGCCCCTCGCCCTCGCGTCCTTCCCGCGCATCCCTATGATACGGGTCGGCTGCAAGCTGGGGAGGGACGCGGTCCCCGCAGGACCAGTTCGGCCTCCACTCCCGGGGCTTCGTGGACCTGCAGCCGCTCGCCGCGCGGCACGGCCTGGACCGGCACGGCCTGAGCCTGGCGGCCATCTGCCAGGCCGGCGGGGGCCGGGCCGCCGGTCGAAGCTCCGCGCGGATCGCTCGGCCCTGCGCGGGCCGGAGGAGGAGGAGGAGGAGGAGGAGGAGGAGGAGGAGGAGGAGGAGGAGGAGGAGGAGGAGGAGGACCCCGGCGGCGCCTCGCCGGAGGTCCTGGCGCTGCACCTGCTTCATGTAAGGGGCGTGGTCGCTCGGCCTTGGGCCCCAGATAGGGCCCTCGGACATCGAGCCGGCTCGGAAGAGGAAGCGCCGACAGACGTGGTCCAGGGCTCCGGTGGTGCCCTGCTGCGCTGCTGCAGCTTCCCGGCGGCGTCGGAGCTGAGGGTCCGGCGCCGTCCCTGGCTCGCTCCGCGCTCCAGTGGGGGGGGTCCAGCGCCGCTCCAAGAAGTCCGCTCTGATCTCCAGTTCACGCCGCTGGCCGGCCGCCGTCAGCCAGTCGTCGGCCGCCGGCGGCCCGGCTGCGGGCGGCGGCCTTCGGCGGCCCTCGGCAGTCCTCGGCGGCCCTCGGTGGTCCCCCGCGTATCTCGGCGGCCTGGGCCAGCAGCGAGTTCGTCGTCGTCGTCGTCGTCGTCGTCGTCGTCGTCGTCGTCGTCGTCGTCGTCGTCGTCACGCCGCGCCAGTTTTGTGGATTTTCGAATTCAGTCTCGACCGCCTGGGGGGCCAGGTTGCAGGGCCGTGGCCCTCGGCTGGCCAGGCGAGGCAGCGGTCAGGGTCGGCGGGCGCGGGGGTCAGGCCCTGGCCGCCTTGTCGGGCCGTCCCAAGTCCTGCTCGACGCGTCCCGCCCTGCCGGGGACCGTGTGGAGCAAAGGTTTGGCGGCGCGTCGAGGTGTGAAGCTTTGGGTTCGAGGCTCGAGGTATCCAGGCGCTTTCGTCGGCTCTCGGCGGCCTTCCCGCCTCGGGATGCGCTCCGGCAGCTGCGCCTCGCCAAGAGCGTTCCTGGGGTGCCTGCATCGCCCCGGGCGGCCACCGCAGAGTCGAGCTATGACCCTCAAGCCGCCAGGCGTCCGAGAGGCCCCCATGCCTTCTCAAAAGGCGACGGGGCTTCGGAGCAAGCTCAGAACGCTCTCGGAAGGTCCAGAGGCCTACTGTGAGCCTTCCGAGCAGGCCCGCCCCCTCTCTACCCTCGACATTCTTTTCCGTTGTATGGGGGGCCATTTTTTGCTGCGGGCTTCAGCCCTGCCCCCCAGGGAGGGGGGGCCTTCTAGAACGGAGGGGGTCTAGATGCCCTCTTGCTCTCTTTTGCGCGTGTGCGCACACGATGTGTGTGTGTGTGTGTGTGTGTGCCGCGTGTGTGTGTGTGTGCTCTCTTTTGCGCGTGTGTGTGTGCCTTTTGCCTGCCAGCAAGAGGGGGTCCACACGATGGAAAAGCCACGACGCCGGACATCTGGTTCTTGCGGGCCTTGCCAGGGCCTTGCTGGTGGTGCGTGCCCGAGCCTGCCCTGGGGATGGCTGGCAGCTGGCATCACGTTGCTTCTTCGGGGGGACCTTGCCTGCGGTGCCATTTGCTGTCTCTTCTTCTATCCGTCGCGGGTTCGACGCGGATTCGACATTCGACGTGGATTCGAAGCGGACAGCGGTGCGACTGGACAGAGGACTCAGACGTGCGATGTCTTGTTTTCTTCCATTCGCGCTCCCCAGAAGTCCCGACCCTTTCCCCAGGGCTGGGTTTTCATCCCGAGTCCTTCTCTTGGCGGCTCCGAGGCCCGGCGAGGGCCCCCAGAGGTCGAACATAGGTAGAAACATCGCGTCGTGATCTCTGTCACGACGCGAGCACGTCCAGGAAGGGCCCCCCGACTGTGCAGGATGTCGCTGGTAGTCTGTACCTGGCCCCAGGCGTCCGGCCGCCCCAATCTTCTCGATGCGCGGCGCCCAGAGGCCTTTCGTCCCGAGGGTCGCTTCTTGGACGGCCCCGGGGCCCGGCCAGGGCCTCCGGAGGCCAAAAGCGGCCAACAAAGCTCGCCGCTCCAAGTGTTGTTGGAGCGTCGGATCCCTGGGGTTTGAGTCGGACGTGTCCCTCTACAGGAGGAAATTCGAGAAAAGTTGAAAATAGTCAGGGGACGATGCTTAGTGCTCTTTTCATCACTTCTGTGCATTCGTTGACTCCTCGTATCCTTTCTTCCACAATCCGCCTGTAGGAGGACATGCGCGACCCATCTCTGGGGCGGCTCTCTGGGGCGACCGCGGGCGGAGCCTCGCTCGCCGTCAGCGCCCTCCGACGCCCCGAGCTGCTCTTCAGGCGTGGCCCCTGGGAGCACTCGGCCCGGTCCCCAGGGGCTGGTGGCTTGTGCTGCTGTGCCCGCGTCGTCGTGGCCCGGCCGCGGGCCGGAGAAGAGGGGCATGTCCTTGGACAGGGGGAATGCTCAAGAATAGTAAGGAAGAGTCTGGGGACGCTTCCTCGTGCTCTCTTGACTGTTTTTGAGTTTTTTTTGTTGTTTTCGTTATTCTCAATTTCTCTCCCAAAGCCCCCCTGTAGGAGGACATGCCCGACCTAAGGGTAGGATAAGGGGCGGGGAGGGGCGGTGATCCAGGGGCGCCCTGGCCCACAGCAGCGCTGCCGGCGGCCGATCACCATCGCACGTCGCCGTTGTTCTGTTGTTCACCGAGCGCGTTCCGCTACTCGCAAAGTGCCCACTGGCAAACGTCTGAAACAAAATCCACACATCTGCCTTGGTGGCATAGATCGTACATCCCCTGCGCCGGATCCAGGCAATTTGCGAGTAGCGACTTTGCGAGTGCAGGAGCGCGCTCGCGTACAGTGGAAGCCCGTGGCAAGCAACACCCTGCTCGCCTCCAGGGTGCCCTGGGTTTCGTGGGTTTCGATGGTTGTGCCATGGAAGGCGTGACGCTCCCACACCAAAGATCCATGGAAGTCCTGGGATCTCAGGGTTGGGTTTCTTGTGGGAGGCTTCTTGTGGACGGGCCGCCACCGTTGCAGCCCGTCCCCGGCGCCAGGCCGTGCTGGGCTCGGCGCTCGACAAGTCGGACCACCTGCGCAGGCGGCCCCCCCCCCCCCCCGGGGGGCGCGCCATCGGCGGGCCCCTCCGCGGCGGGCCGGGACCTGCCGCGCCCGCCCCGCGGGGCCGTGGCGGGCGGGCGGCAGCTCGGGGCGATCGAGGTGGGCACAGTCGAAGAGGCAGAAACGCCACAAGCAGAAACTCTTGGCGCTCCGCGCGGATTTCTCGGATCCGCGCTGGGAGCACCCTGGCGGCGCCTCCGGCGCCGCCCCTGGCGCGCTCCGCGCGCCAGGGAGGGCGGTCTTGCGCGGATCCAAGAATTCCGCGCGGAGCGCCAACAGTTTATGTTTATGGCGTGTTCTCTCCTTCTACACAGCAGGAATGGGTGCGCTTCGAGGGGGATCGACTGCATAATTGACTTACCCCCAACATGGAATTTCCCGTCGGATCCGGAACGAGTGCCCGGCACTCTCGTAGAAGATCTGCAGGACATTCTGCGTACTCTCTGGTGGATGCGACGGACATTCTTTTGGGGGGCACATCAATTCTATAGTCGACCCTCTAATCGAACTCTGGATTTTGTAATAAAAGGGTGGTGGTCTGATTGTTTGTTGGAGTCAGATTTGAGCTGTCCTGGGGTGTTCCAGTGAGGTCTGGGCAAAAGGCCGCTCTTTCATTGGTGGTCGTGGGGGGGTCTAAAACTGTCCGTCTGGGAGGGTTGTGACCCCATCCCTTGTGTTACGAAATCTGGAGCACGGAAAGAATGGGTAGGAAGACCGACGGCAGTTCCCCCCCATTTTGAATCCGATTTTTGTTGTTGGTGCCGCAGCGGGCCTCGTTCGTTTGAGACAGAAGGCCGCCTGCCTAACAGCGGCCGCTGTTCCGGCGTTGGGCAGCAAATGTTGTGGGGCATCATGCCCAGCATAAACATAAGTTTTTGGCGCTCCGCGTGGATTTCTTGGATCTGCGCCGGATTCCCGCGCGCGCCAAGTTTATATTTATGCAGTTTTTCTGTTTCTAATTGGAGAGGTGGGGGGGAGGGAAGAGGCAGGATGGCGGAGGGTCAAGGGTTGGAGGATGGAGGGCTCGGTATGGAGAGTGGAGGATGTATGGCAAGTGGATGGAAGACGGTGGGCTGGAGGATGGAGGATATAGCGTTGTGAAACATTCACGACTGGAGATTTTTCGCTATTTTCGGCCTTCGGGGGCCCCCCCCATCGGGCCTCGGAACCGTCAAAAAAAGGAGTCGGGATGAAAATCCAGTTCCCAGAAGGGGGTGGGATGATCGAGGACGCAGGAGTGGAGGATGGAGAATGGGGGTTGCAGGTTGGAGGATGGAGGGTTGGAGGATGGAGGGTTGAAGGATGGAAAGGGGAGGATGGAGGATGTTGGTGAAGAGTGTGGATGGAGGGTTGCACGAGGGATGGTTGGAGGATGGACGACGGATGGTTGGAGGATGCAGGCCTGATGGGAGAGGATGGATGGCGGAGGGTTAGAGGATGATGGTTTGAGGGTGGAGAAAATGGAGGGCGATGGTGAGGAAAGAAATGCGCGTCGGAGGATTGATGGAGGGTTGGAAGGAGAGATGGAAGGAGTGCCACTTAACAAATCTGTTCGACAAAGAACGGAGTGGTGTGGGACACTCTTCAGTAACATGTTGATTTTGGTTCTTCTCACATCTGCCGAAGGCGTTTGAGATGTGATGCCTCACGTAGGGTTGCCCCGTCCTGTGCCCATGGCCCAGGATCAGAAGCTGGACTTCCGTGCGAGATTCAGAAAACTTGCACCCGAAGGCATCGTCCTCTGACCCAATCTTGCAGTGGCGGCGTGTGAGTGTCTGCCAGAGTGAGATGTTCTCTGTCAGCACCCCAGAGCTGCAAAACGGTGGTCCGGAGCGGCAGCGCAGCACGGCGTGTCTCCCTTCTCTTCTCCTCCTCGTGCCTCCTCCCAGGCAGAATCCGCCCACGGCCAGTCCCCGCACCCTTCCCAGGCATCATCCGGATTTTTCCAAGCCGCGTCCAGCCGTGGAAACGACGAGAGAGACCCGAGAAGGCCCAGGAGGAGGGTGGACATTCCCTTGAGCCTCCATGGGCACCCTAAAGCCACCTGCACTTACCCTAACCCACCGGATCCTGCTTTTTTCCGACCCTCCCTCTTCTACCCTCGCCCCTCCTCCATCCTCCTTGTTTTCTTTTCCCAGAAACCATCAGTACGTATTCTCTTTATTTTCTAGAAAGCCGTAGAACACGCAGGAGGAGAAGGAGGAGGAGGAGGAGGAGGAGGAGGAGGAGGAGGAGGTAGAGGAGGAGGGGGGGGGAGAAGGAGAAGGAGGAGGAGGAGGAGCAGGATCAGGACGAGGGAGGAGAAGAGAGAGGAGGAGGAGGGGGAGGGGAGGAGAGGAGGGGGGAGAGGAGGAGGAGGAGGAGGGAGGGGGAGGAGGAGGAGGAGGAGGAGGAGGAGAGGGAGGAGGAGGAGAGGAGGAGAGGAGGAGGAGGAGGAGGAGGAGAGGAGAGGAGGAGGACGAGGAGAGGAGGAGGAGAGACGAGGGACGACGACGGACGACGACGACGACGACGACGACGACGACGACGACGACGACGACGACGACGACGACGACGACGACGACGACGACGACGACGACGACGACGACGACGACGACGACGACGACGACGACGACGACGACGACGACGACGACGACGACGACGACGGCGTCGGCGGCTGCGGCGGCGGCGGCGGCCCCGTGCGGCAGGTCGGACTGGAGCGCGCCGCTGTCCGAGGCCGGCCGCGGTCCGACCCTGGCCCCGTTCCGGGCATCGCCGGCCTCTGGCCACGGCTGCTTCGGCGGCGGCGGCCTCACCGTCGGCCACTGGCGGCCCTTCTCGGCTGCCTGAGGCGGCGGCACATCGGCGGCCGCCCCGGGTAGCCTCATCGGCGGCGGCCTCGACGGCGACCTCGTCGGTGGCCTCATCGGTGGCCTCGGGCGGCCGCCGCAAACTGATCTCGATGGCAGGTCTCTTCTCGAGCTCGGCCTCTGGGGGTCCGTTTCGGGCCGGACGAGTGGGGGGGATCGGGAAAGCGGGGGTTAGGAAATCTGCTGCATGCAGCTGGTTTCCGCCCCGCCGCCGGGCCCATTCCTCGATACGTGGGCGCCTCCTGAGGCCAGGAGGCGCTAGGAAAGACAGCTATGTGAGCTGATTCTCTACCCTGCCTTTTGCCATTTTAGCCTTTCGTCGCCCCCGACCGTTTCAGGGCGCAGGGTCTCCCAAGGGCGGGCGCGCGCCGCAGGCGCAGGTCGCCTACGCCGCCTGCGACGCATTCGTCGCGGTCGACATCCTCGAGAGGTCAGCCCTCTCCGCCTCCCTCCTTCTCCTCCTCCTCCTCCTCCTCCTCCTCCTCCTCCGTAGCCATTTTGGCTCAAGATGTTTGTGCCCCGTGGCAGAGCACAGAGACCCCTGGTCCGGGGACTGCTAGGACCGCTGCTTTCCGCCTTCGCCGTGCCCGCGGCGTTGAGCATTTCCATTTCCTTCGCTGCTGAGGCGCAGCTTACATATCTCTCGCCGCCAGCGCTGGCCCCTCGCCCGATAGCCTCGCGATGGGTGTGCCTGGTGTCGCCAGCTCCGCAGACTCCTGGGCCGACTACGTCGACAAGGGCAAGGGCAAGGACACTGCTGCCGCCGACCCTTGGGCCGCTGGAGCTCAGAAGCTTGCCGCGATTGACCTCCCCGCACACCAGCGGAAAGTGCTCACCGATCTCCTCCAGACCCAGGTCGACAAAGCCGCCGCCGCCTTCGAAACCACATCCAAGCAAGTTGCTGCTGCTGCGCAAGCTGAGTTCCTGGCCATCACCACGAAACTCACGGAACAGTTCAGCAACCGCCAGGAGTCCGCCGAGAAGGATATTACCGAACTCAAAGGCCGTGCGGATCGTGCTGAACGCCTCCAAGGTGAACTCAAGGCAAGTGTGGACGCCCTACAGCAAGCTCTTCGTCATGCCGAAGCTCTCCACCCAGCCATGGATTTGGACGCCCTGGGGGCCTGGGACCGACCACCGAATGCTGCAACCTTCTGGTGTGGGGCTGCCTCAGAATTCTCCGTCGCCTCGCTCAAGAATGCGCTCGCCTCCTGGTTCGAAGCCGCCGACGTGGACATCAATGCGCTCCGCATCAACTCAGAGGGCCCTGCGCGGATAATTTCGTTCACACTCACTGGCGGCAACGCGATCGCTCTCCCGCGAGCACAAGCTCTACATCGCGCACTTCGGCAAGGTCGTGAATGGCGCCGCTTCCAGGTGGAATCGGACTCGGGACCCACTGCCCTCTACGTCTCCGCGGACAAGTCGCCGCGCATGGTCCGCCAAGAAGTTCAACTCAAAAAGCTCAACAAGCTCATCAATGACAAGTTCCCCGCGCTCGAGACTCGGGTTCACCGCGCTGGAGGCTTCCTGTCCGTCGACGGCGCGCCCATCGTCCAGGTCACAGCTGGCGCCGCTCCTGACGCAGCCACCCAAGTTCGTTGGTCAGACGCTGCCGCCCCCGCTGGCATCCCTATCACCGAGCATGCGCCATTGGCTACCGCGCTGGCCGCCGCATTCGCCAACCCACTGGAGGCAGTGCGGTGGCTTTAGCATGCGATGGTCGCTGTGGTTCACGAAGCCACACGGCGACGGCCTCAACTTGGTCTCGTGGAATACACAGGCGCTCAATGGCAGATCGGCAACAAGGCGGGCCCTCAAGAGACAGTTGTTACTCCGTTACATGCGGCAGCGGGCGGTCATCGCCATCCAAGAGACGCACGGCAACAACATCGACATGGACCTTGGCCGCAAGCTCCGACCACAAGTACATCGCCTTCCACTCAGCGCTTGTGACTGGTTCCCTTTGACCGAGCTGAACTCCAACTGCCGCCTGATCAACGGCCTCTACGTTCATTTCGTGCGATCGTCCCTGGACACATTGGTGAACTACGCGTTCAAGACGGGACAAGACAGCATGAGACAACAATCTTCAACATTCACAACTACGACCTCAGCGGATCTGACCGTCAGCGCTTCAAAGCTGCGTGGCAAGCAGCTGCTCAACGCTCAGCCCTCCGCCCAGACAACCACGACTACTACGTGATTGGTGACTTCAATATCGCCCAGACACCGCCGAAGAACCTGCTTCATCCCACCGCGGACTCCACCGCCGAGCGCTACCACTACCAGCCTGCCTTCTGGAAGCACATCTTCTCACAGATGATGGAGATCACTGCGAAGGCCGCCGCTCACCGATGCTTGGCCAACATGACGGGGGCGTCCATCGACAGATGCTTCGTCTCGATCAACGCGTCCAACATCCCACACCTCGAGACACTTCTTGTTGCCGATGGCCGACCGCTCGACCGAGAAGGGGAGCCCATCAGCGATCGCAAGATTCTACATCTACGGCTTCGACCTCGTCGACCACGTCCAGTCAGCGAGCGCGGCGCCCCTGCCTTCCTCTTCGAATCCAAGCACTACAAGTTCTACTACAGTCGCCTTGTCGAAATGGCCGACCTCTCAGCTGACCCCATCTCAAACTGGCGGACAATGAAGCGCGTAATGAAGATGGCGGCGTGCAAGGCTCGCGACACCATCGCCTCTGTCTCCGCCTGCGAGCTCAAGCCGCTCGAGAACCGAAATGAAGACCCACAAGTCATAGCAGAGGCACGTGCACTCACACTTCGCAGTGTTGCCAGAGCCGTCTGGTACCAAGACCTCCCTCTCGCTCAACGACTTCGAGAGGATACCACTGCTGGTGCACAGCGCATCGGCATCAGTCACCACAAGATCTCTCTAGTCGACCGCACCGCGTTCGAGACCGAGCACTCCGCCATGCAGCTTCAGATCGCTGAACAACGACGTCGCGCTGCTGCCGCCCGCTCGAGAGCTGCCCATGCGGAACAACGACCTGACCTTGGTGAGCGATGGCGTCGCCGTGCTCGTCGTATTGGACAGCGCAGCGAGATCTGGAAGCCGTTCTCGAAGCGCTTGATTCTGGCAGGTGTCCGCATCACCGATAGCAGAGGCCCGGCAGTCGCAAACGACCCCATGGACATGCACAACGCTATTCAATCTCACTGGTCGAAGGTGTTCGCTGCTAAGCATGTTGACGCCCCAGCGATGCAGCAATATCTGGACATGGTATTCCCACCAATGCCTCCACGTCGCCTGCCTCTACCTGGGATTGAAGAACTCCAAACTGCTGCTAAACGTGCCGGCGACTCTGCTCCTGGACCCGACGGACTGCCCTATCGAGCATGGGTACGATCTGAGGGCAGCATCGAGATCCTCCACGCACTCCTCCACTCCATTGCCCACGGTGGACCGATCCCACACGACCTGAACTACGCGCTCATGGCCATGCTTCCCAAGGGTGATGAGCCCTTGGGCAACTACGAGTGCTCCCGCAGTCCTGACTGTCTCCGCCCCCTTGCCATGAGGAACAGTGACATCAAGACCATCGCATCCGCGACGAACCGCATCCTCAGCTCTGTGGCGTCGGACACCGAGGAGGAACAACAAGGTTTTGTCAGTGGCCGTCAATTTCCCTCCAACATTGTCAAGGTGGACACCATCGCCCGTATCACCCGCATCTACAGCGAAGCCCCCAGCATGATGCCATGCTTCGCCAGCATGGACATTGCCGCAGCGTTTCCGAGCCTCACACACGCGTGGTTGTGGGCTTCTCTAAGGCGGTGGGGCATCCACGGCGACTTTCTCAATCCCCTGCAGTGTTGCTACAACATGCCGCTTGCCTTCCTCGACCTGGGTGGTGCGCGTCGCCCGCTACTTCTAGCAGAATCTGGGGTTGCGCAAGGATGTCCCTTGAGCGGCACGCTCTGGGCGCTAGTATTCGATCCCATCATCAAGGGCCTCAAGATGGAACTTGCTGCTCTGGGTAGAGGCCTGCTCAGCGCATGCGCCGACGACCTGGGTATAGTGCTTGCTGCACTTCGGGATCTTGGCGCTCTACTACCACACCTGCAAGCTGCACAACATTACGCTGGACCCCGCCTCCAACCGACGAGATGCGTCCTCGTGCCCACCTGGTCCCTGCCAACGCCCGAGATCACCGCGAGCATGCGAGCCACCCTGACCCAGCTCTATGAGCCGTGGCAAGACTTCACCATCAATAGCTCTGCGCGCTACCTCGGCGTATACATCGGCCCTGGAGCTTCTCTCGACCGTCAATGGCAAGGTCCTGCCATCAAGTGGTGGGAGCGCATCCAGATCCTGTGCGACTCCCACGCTCCCATCCAGCAGTGCATCAAGATGTGCAATTCCGCTGCCATCACTTGCCTCTCGTACGTCGGCCACCTCTCCCCGCCTTCCCCAGCATTCCTGTCCAGGGAGATTCACGGGCTCCACGAGCTGATCCGTGCTGCCCCCTCAAGCTTCACGAAGATGGACATCCTGTCGTTCACGCTATGGGCGTCCGCCACGATCCCGCAGGGTATTGAAACGCTTCTCGCGGCAACGATGTGGCGCGCCTCCGCGACCACCATCTCTGGCTGGCAGCCTCTGCTTCACACATTCCGTGCCCATGCTGAAGAACTTCCCCCGCTACGAGATGTAGTTGTTGACAAAAGGTTCTGCTTCTTGCTGGATTGACGCCGCTTCCATCGTACAGCGATTCGACGACATACTTCGCAACAAGCTGATCGCGACGGGCAAAGGATCCATCTTGAAGATTTTCACGCGATCCACAGGATCTACGGTGAATGCCGCCCAGATACTTCAACGAGCACATGCGCAAGCTGCTGCTGCTGGACGACGCGCTATCATGGCATCCCGTCGTAACAAGGCGGAGGATCTGCACGCGCCCGGTCGTGACAGGATTGGTTCCCACCAGGCACCACGCCGTGACAGGGCTGGTGACCAGTCGTGACAGGACTTGCGGATCTCATCAGAGACAAGCTGGAGTCCTAGCTTCGAATGATGCTACTTCGAGTGCCACTTCACGCACCTCTCCACAACAAGCATACCTACGGGAACTACAACGCCAGCTGTACCGCGACTCCTTCCACAAGACTATCCATCACCGTCTCCGTGCATGGTTCCCACTACTACCTGTTGTCAATGGACCTCAGATGGCACCTGCTACGACCGAGCAGCCGAATGGGAACGACAATCGTGATTCCATGAAGTACTTGAAAGAACGTGCAGAAGCATGGGCAGCAAGATGGATCCCCAGCGTGTTCTTCGGCCGCGTTATGGACAACTTCAACGACTGGATGGAATGGTGCGTCCCGTACATCACAGCTGTTCTTCACCGCACCCAGTTCAACGCGTACTTCTGCCTCGATGACCAGTACGGGGCAG